TATTTAAAACTTCGATTCACGATCTTTTCCCAGAACCAAGTGAAAGTCAGTGAAAAATTTTTCTTACTCGCCTATATTAACGATGAAATGTATTTTTATACTTCAATCTACGATTCATAACCTTTTCACAAAACTAAAAAAAAGTCCAAAAAATTCTACTTGGTGACTAACGCGATTTGTGAGTGAAAAATTTTTCTCACTCGCCTATATCGTCGATGGAATATATTTTTATACCTAAAGCTACGATCCACGACCTTTTTATAAAATTAAGAAAAGTCCAAAAAATTCTACTTGGTGACTAACGCGATTTGTGAGTGAAAAATTTGTCTCACTCGCCTATATCGTCGATGGAATATATTTTTATACCTAAAGCTACGATCCACGACCTTTTTATAAAATTAAGAAAAGTCCAAAAAATTCTACTTGGTGACTAACGCGATTTGTGAGTGAAAAATTTGTCTCACTCGCCTATATCGTCGATGGAATATATTTTTATACCTAAAGCTACGATCCACGACCTTTTTATAAAATTAAGAAAAGTCCAAAAAATTCTACTTGGTGACTAACGCGATTTGTGAGTGAAAAATTTTTCTCACTCGCCTATATCGACCATGAAACGTATTTTGATACCTAAAGCTTCGGTCGACGATTTTCTCACGACACCGAGAAAATTTGACCGAGTGACTAACGAGGGTAGTCGACGAAGAACTTTTCTCAGTGCAGCATATCGACAAAGCGACGCGTTTTCCGCGTGCACGCGCCACCTCGCGCAAAAGAATGGCGAAGAGGATGGCGTCGCGGCTCGCGCTGGCCCAGAGGCCACAAAAGGAAAAGTTGAATGCGAAATGTCACGCTACGACCGCGATACGTCCCGCTGCGTAAAGCAAATTTCCTCGCCTCTGCCGAGAACGTCGCTGCGGCCTTTATGGCATCGGCCATGGCAACGACGTTTCGGGAGGGAACAATGGTCGTGATGCGTCTCGATTTCGCCGCTTTGTCGAGCCACGTGTTTCCACGCGAGCAGATAGAGCATCTGCACGGAAAATCACGGATGCCTGCTTTCCGCTTTATGACACTTCTCGCGAGCTGGACGTTCCTCGGTTGAAATTCGCGCGATCGTTTCGCCGAATTTTGGGTCAAAGCGTTGCAGTTGCCTGATGGAGAAGGAATCTCGAAGCACTTTGTAAATTAATTGTTCGAATTCGAGGATTACCGTGGCATAGCAGACCAATATTACTAACTCGTTCATATTAAGAGTTAATACTAAAAATACGATACAAATGAACAATACTAAAATTATAAATAGTAAAATAGAAATGGAGTTTAACTAAGATATAATAAGAGTTTTGTTACGTCGGAAAATATTTTTATCCGAAATGGAGAAAATTGTTATCGATATCTGCAGTACTAACTTTAGATGAAGTCTTGATCAAGCGTCCATTAAGTAGTACAGGTCTACCATTGATCAGGCATAAATATAGGTCGGACGTTAGCCAGAGAAAAATTAAGTAGTTTCAGTCAGTCATTGGTCAGATGCAAATTAAATTATATAGGTCCGCCATTAGTCAAACGTAAAATAAGTAGTCTGGGTCAGCCGTTTGTCTGACGTGGTGCAGCTGATTTATATAAAGTCCGTAATACGTTGGCAATTTCTCTTGTCGTTCATCTTAGATTCTGCTGGATTAAATTAGCAATTTGGTGCCTTGCCACTTCCTTTTTTCGTCTTCCATGCTGAAATCTTCGTCTTTAAATCTTTTGATCCACTTTTGGATAGTACGTTTATTCGTAGCTCATTCTAAATATTACGATTCGCAATTTCCCTCACGATTTCGTACTTTCCCAAATTTTCAGCAGCACAGAAATATTTTGCAATGTATTTCGCGAATCTGTATTTCTTCTGCATTTCGCCTATTCTACTCTCTCTTCTCTAAAATTTATCTGCACAATTTATTCCGAATGTGTTCTATGGGAATTGTATCCTAGCTGATCAAGAAGAGCAGTGGTATTAAAATTTTACGCCACCAAGTCTGCATAGATCAGCCTCTCGGATGCTAGCTATCGTGCAAGTTCGAAAGTAGCGAGTCGAATGTTACAGCCAACCTTCGTGTTCATAAACCCACTTCATTCGTTTATAGGATCCAGAGTTGTACTTTTTCGGAGCTCTAAAGACTCCTGAGGACTCTCGAGTCCTCTCAAAGTTCCTTAATGGAATCTTGAGTTGTTCTTTCCTAGAGGTATTAATTTCACGTTAGTGGAATGTCCGCTAAGTCACGAAACAAGATTAAGTACAGTGTCTTGTTTCCGTTAATATCCTTCTTTCTTGCCGGAGAACGAAGACTGGCAGATGGTAGGATTATCCTGATTAAATAGTCTAGGGTTTGAAGCAGGGGATAAAATAGTACAGAAATAAGCTGTCTTAATAATCTGCCTCTGAAACAGTTGTAATAACCGAATGATATGGATATAATGATATGGATATAATGATATGGATATAATGATATGGATATAATGGATCTAGCTTACATTGGTTAAAATTTCGGTTCTTGGGTACCGATATTAAGTCTATTCTATGTCGGTCTTGCATCGATTCGATATCGGTGCTGTATTGGATCAATATCGGTTGTACGTCGATTATATATCGGTTCTGTATCGATTTTGTACGAACCCTGTATCTGTTGCATATCGGTTCTCGTATACCGTTCTTTTTCGATTCCACATGAGCACCAAAACTCTCTAACGTCACTCCAAGAGTCAGCAACCACACGTAACACCAATATCCCTAAAATTTTAAGCAATTTTATAATTTGTCTATTACAATTAAGCAAAAATGATGAAATTCTTACGCAGTCGTTAAGTTAGCCACTTCTCCAGGTCACGAACTGATTTAAAGCACACGTGACTAAAAGCATGCCAATTTCAGGAACAGCAAATGGTTACGTCCATGTCGTATAGCTTAGAACAGACTGCTATCCTAAACAGTGCCATTCTCGACGAAACGCAAAGATCTTTGGCACGCGTGACAATGCTTGCAGCCATTCGGTGTCCGGAAGAATGGAACGAAGGGGATGGCAAACGTTTAAAAGAGCCATAAGGCGTTCCTAAAGCGGCTCCCGGCGTGCCTCCGTCAATATTGAATTTCCCTGTGATTACATAATAAAGTAAACATCGTTTCAACCCCTTTAGCCGGCGCTATCGACCGTCGCTCGAATTAGCCCGATGCAAGTCATGTAAATTAGCCACGGCCGCAACTCAGGAGGGACGCAGGCCTACTCCCCTGATCGTTGTCGCCGACAGAATGGAATATTTGAAATATCAGTCGGTCGATTCTACTGTGTGTCTGCTAACATTCGTGCGGTTTACCCAGCCCCTTTTTGCTCGCTCGGCTCCCTCAGCCTCGATGGTCACTTGCGCGCGACAAAAGCGTTTGTTCGTCGTTCGATCCCGATGAAAACACGACTGTCTGATCCACTGGATCGAATTGCGATTAACCGTCAAGATCTTCGAAATTTGACGCATAATTTGACAAGCAAGAATTATGTTTTTGGCCCAGTACGAGGATACAAATTTTATTCGGCGTTGAGAAAATTAACACACTGTACATTGTATGGTTCTATAATATTGTATCATTTAAAAGCGTAGTAAAAAGTGAAATGTAAAGACGTAATAAATTTTTAATATAGATGTAAATATTTTCATAGCGTATTTGAAAGTACAATGTGTTAATTTACTTGACAATGAACAGATTAAGTGGCAAAATGAATTATAATCTGTGTACTAATTCAAATTGAAGTATTTTCAACGGGACCAATTTCAGTCACCCCGGAAAAGCATTTGAAAATCCCGCGCGAGTGAACAAACCGGTAGAGCAAAGAAATAAACCGGAAATGCAAATAAACAAGATCTGTGAATATAAACAAAGAAGGCCAGGATGCAGAGGGACAAGCCGAAATTGTAAATAAGCATTGAATATCGTTTGAATTGTTTGACCAAGCGATGTCATATTCTACTAGCTGGGTAGGTTATTGACTCGTTCTACTTGCCGATCGAGATATTGCCTTTATTTACGCGCTCTTTGTTTTCGCGCCGCTGGCTGCCACGTTCTAAAGCATCCTTTTGTTTAAAGTTCCTTTTAATTCGGGATCCTTCTGACTAAGATAGACGGTATTTTTCTCGACATATTAAATGACAAATTATGGGACTTATTAAAATGGATGTCGTCCGGTATCCGTTACAAATTTATAAAATATACGGCGGTGGAAGATTAAAGACGCTCTCTTTTGTGATCGGAGCCAATTACGACGGAAGAGACACTCTATCATCCTTAGCAAGGAAAACACGGCCATCCATTCTCCAGCGTAATCTCGATGCTAACGCTCCAGGGGCCAACGAATGAAATCACTCGATCTTTAGCAGATCTGACTCTTGGCTTAATTCGGAGGAATTGATAAGGAACCTCGCCTAAACCGAGATAACTTTTATTACTGCGGAGGTGGTTAATTTCCCGTCATCTCATTATACTTCTACTACGGGTCTTCTCATAGGGACCAGAAAACCAATTTCCATTCCAGCAGAGACTTTGACTGAAAGACAAATAAGTAACCAATTTAGTCTTTTCATCTTTTAGCAGCTTATAGAGATATCATTTTTAGAATAACTTACCATCTGGCAGAAGCTTCTTGCAGCTGACCTGCATTTACTGTCAATCTGAATCAACCCTTTGTACACAGAATTCTACTGTATTACACACGTGCAACACAGTCTATAGTATATAGCAAGAACTCAGTCCACTACATTCTTCTCCTCGACGTCCATTTATGCAAAAAGTCACGATAGCATCTAAAAAGGTTAATCATTTATGAAGTAAAAGCTCAGATAAATTCTAATCTTCTTTCTACATTGCACAATGAAACGTTTTCAGTTTCTCACACATCGTGGAACGATCTAACAATAAGCAAAGCCACTCGCAAACTGGTACCATTGTTTCGGGCAGTAGGGAGAATATGACGGCGTTCAGAGCAGCTCGAGAGGTAGCTAGCGCAATTCTTAATATGCTGAAAGAGAGCTTGGAGCGTACGAAGCAAGAACGTAGCTTGGAAGTGGACGTAGAATTTTTCGAATAACTCGATTCGCCCGCTCGAGTGAAGTGTGCGACCTAGCAACGATGACGTATCGCTTTATAACAAAGGGAATTTATCAACGTCAATTTGTCGCGCTGCTGACTGTGGACACGCCTCCAACTGCGCTGAGTGTCGCGTGATAAAAGAAGGATGAAAGAAACCAGGAAGAAAAGAGAGAAGGAAACGCGACTGGCAGAGGGATACTTAATCCTCAACGCCTGGCCGTTATCGTTCAATTATGCGAAGACATAATGGAACGAGGATTAATTACGAGTCTCGTCGGTTTCGAGCAGCGTTCGTATCGTCGCCAACGCGCGTGGAATTAAATCATCCCGATCTGTCGTGACTCGAGCAGATTTTTCATCGTACCGTGTGAAATCTTCTTTGAAACCCTCTGTGATTACGGATAAAAAGCAGAGTCAACTTTTGTATAATAGAACTGCTTCAACCATTCGTCCCCTTAAATGCTGCGATGGTTAACGAAAGCGTGAAATATGACATTCTAAAGTCGTGCATTAAAAATATAACGCGTCATTCCGATTTCGGTAGCTCGTGGATAACTCTCGCGAACGATACAACGCGTCAGGAGAAGAGAATGATTAAGGTTAAATTGAGTTATTACGTTATCGGATTGTATCTGAACCGGCGTTCCGCGAGGTATCTGGAGCATAATGAAAAGGCTCAAAGCTGAGAGAAAATAATAAAGGACAGCGAGGGGGAAGAAAAATCGATGCCTCGGACTTGATAACACAAACAATTATCCGCGTAGAAAACAACGATAACATCGCAGAGAGGGTGGTCTGTTATAAATACACCGGGAACTTAACATCGAGCACGGTTGGGTATTTTTGAAATAAAAATTCATACAGCTTTTAGATGTTACTCGCACGAAACGAACGCAATTTACCGCGAGATAAGGTTAAACGAAAACTAGTTATCAGCGATGATCCGCTCGAACACTGCTCTATCCTATAGCTGTCCCTCCGTCAGCTATCTTAGTCTACTCGCCTGACCAGGTACTCTTTCAACGACCTTATAAGCCCAAACATCGTCCTATTCTACATTCTACTATCTCCACACTCACAGTCCTATTTTACCCTGCCGGGCAGCCCACGTTTCTACTTCTTCCGTCTGATAAGGTACTGTCCTATTCCTCTTTTCCGCTTGCAGACACCGTCTTCCGTTCCACTTTTCCACTCTTCCATACAGCCCAAACGCTCAGCTAACTCACCTTTCAGACTCCTGGTCGGCTAAAACAAATCAACGCAAGGAATTAAGTGTCAGAGGGCGAAATACTTATCCCGTTCTTGATATTACCAGAACATTAATATTAATGAAGTGAACTGGTAACAAATAGGTTAATGTATACCTACGTTGCCAGGACGTTGCATTTTATGTTTACTCTTTACTTGCTTCAACTCTTAGTCTCCAATTTTCAGTGTTCGATTATGAATCTCTTCTTTTCAGGTTGTTTCAGACCTTTATCATTTATTTTCTTTTTGTCAATACTTATATGATATCAGCTTATTGTTATGTCGGTTCACTCCCTAAAAAATTATGTTCCTATTAAATACATTTACAATCTTTTTACTCTAATTTAAAAATAATTGAAGCATCTCGTTATGGAGGGGGCTCGAGTGTTGCTCAAATATAGGTAACGGAGTAATGAACGTATTAAAAAATGCTCGGGTCATCAACTCACCTTTAAGACACGCTCGAAGCTTTCCCAAGCTTTAACTATTAAGTAGCCATCGTAAACTTGGAACAACAATAATAAGATACACTAGGATGGTCCATAAATTTTTCCATTAAAATTTATTCTTCCCTCGTAAATGGAGAGGGATAAACATGCAAGACGCCATCAAGAGTAGCCTCATACTTCCTAGAAATTTAATTACAATTTATAGTTCCTTATTAAACATTTAATTAAATTTCGAAGAATAGAGCGTCAATAATTCCTCCTATATACTTCCCGAATATGTCCAAAGAGACATCTTTCCTGACCACCGACCGCCATCTGACAAGAAGCCATTCATTAACTCGCGGAACACGCTTCTTCGCCGCGTACTAAATAATAGAATAACTACTAATACCGTGGAAACGACCAAACTTACAGTCTGTCCGCTGGAAGTGAAGATAATCGGATCGAACCAGCCGCTGTCGGCCGGCAAGAGGTACGAGCTGGTCTGCACCACTTCCGGCTCCAGGCCACCGGCCACGGTAACCTGGTGGAGGAACGAGCAGCGTCTGTTGGAGACCAAGGAGACTGTAAGTACAGGCACCAAGGCAGGAGTAACGATATAGGTCGTACGCCATGCTATCCGCGATCCGGTGTTCTCTGGCTATTCCCTGGCCGAGCGTAAATCGAAGTCAGCCCTCTTAAATCAGTGAAATATCTCGCGGCTCGAAATATATACTTGTCTACTGAAACCGGCCCGGGGGAGGCGGAGCAGAAGGGAACCGAACCTCGCGTTGTCCGCGAACCCGATTCTGGATGACCGAGCTTTAGATATAGCGTGGTCGTTTCGTCTGCAGATCTGTAAATAACTATGGATAATTAATGTCGAAAAATATCTTAAATAATGGTAACATTTACTTAAACTTACGTGAGTTGCAGTCGTACGGAGGAACCTATTTTTCGTTAGATATCCTTGTAGATGAATTCGATATTAAATTTCTAAGTCACTATTCACGGTAATCAGGTTACTTAGAATAGGTAAAGCCTAGAAGAAACCAAGGTGATATCAAATTAGAGAATTTATATCTATCCCAAAAATTGTCAATTTTCGCGAATAAAAATTTGCAATAAGAGATATAGGTTACCACGTAAAAATTGAAATATCCTCTCACAAAGCTTTCCATGGTAATCGCGGGATCAAACGTGTACTTATTTACCTGCAAGATATTTAAAAATATTCCGGAGATAAAAATTTCGGAATAAAACGAGTCCCACTGTAGAGCGCAGTGCAGACGCGGTCGCGGAGAAGGGGAAGCGCGTGGTGGGGGTGGCGCGAAATTCGATTTACCATCGTTCGGAGCACTCAACATAATTCGTAATTCCTACTCGGCGTGGCCTCTTAAAGGAGCCGTAAAATACGTGTACAAGCGTGCGTGTACCAGTCGCGTTCTCCGTCGTCGTGCACGGACCGATAGCGTGCCAGGATATCGTTATCGCGGCTCACGTGGGCCACGGCTTAAGCCACGTTAAAAGCGCCATTAGACGGGGAATAACTTAAATCGAAGCGGGCCAGTGACGTGATAACGTGGCCGGGGCCCCGCGACTCCACTCCCGTTACCACGCCGCGTAATTAAGGCAAATCGAACAGGCCACGATCGGGAATAAAACGACCAGCGATTAATTAGCCAGGGACGGACATTCTTCAACGAAAAACAATGGCCAGGATGGGGATTTCAACGCAATTTAAAGGACGTTCAGTATTTCCAAGCTTTCGATCTGGGTATACGGAAAGGATCGCTATTATCTTGGGTATTTATCGAGAATCGCGAGAATCCTTGCGAGAGGAAGAAAAGGGACGATAAAAGGTTTAAGAAGACTCTATACTCTGTTAACGGCAGGGTCGAAGATTTTTTTTACGACCTCTCGAAACGGGATCGAGATAGCAGCTACTGATACGCAGCTTGACGAAAAGATTATTCTAAAAGAATTTCTGATTTAACGTCTACTGGTATTCTGTCCGATTCCTGGGACCAAGTTCGCGAAGTGCCTTAGTTTAATAATTAAATTCGAGGAGGTAGAGACGATATAAATCTCGGGATCATTGAATTTTTAAGAGGTTCAGAATTTAAAGCAGTTTTAGAAGAGTTCTCTACTTAACTCAACCTTTTCATAAATAAGTACGTGGAATAACCAGAAAATACTAACATCTCTATAAAATTCTCCGCCTCCTCGAGTATTGATTTATTCAGAGACCAGTAATCACCAATCCAAAGGATTGAATCTGACCATTCGTACAATTTGCAACGCAGTATTCCGTCTGCTTTCATCAGACAAATTTTTAAAAACCATTCGACCAGCGTGCAAATATGGTCCCAAGATGCGAATGGTAAAGCGGGTACCATTGTATCTGGTCGAATGGAGCAGAAAATATCGAGAACGATGCGAGACGTAAGCGTATTAGCACGAAAAGCAAAACAGGCGGAACGAAACTTTCCTGAGTTTGAAGATTACCGGAAAGAAGAAGAAGAAGAAGGGTACGTGAAAGAAGAAGAACGGTCTCGTTTCCTGCGATGTACTCCTATAGATTATACTTCCTCCTCGTATTTCTTCTTACGCCTCATCCTCTTTTGTTTAACTTTCTTATATAAGCGGCAGAGCAGTCTCACGGAATGAGAAGCATCGACTTGAGAACAATATTTTCTCTATTTCCTTCCTGGCAACTCTCTTTTCATTTTTATTTCGGCGGACACTCAATCTCCGTGGCTCAAATATTTATATCTCGATCGGACGGAACACGAGGAGATATCGCGGATGAAAATTAAAATTTATAACGCGAGTGTACCTTAGTTCGTTCACGACCGTACCGTAAAATCAACATTTTGTTTACCAAAATACACGAACACGGTAACGCGAGGAAGATGCCGCGAGTCGAGGGTGGAACGAGAGAGAAGAGGAGGGCGATTTCAGCTCGTAATAAACGCGAGAGATACTCGGCAACTTGGAGTTACCCTTCGTGGAAATCTATCTCCTTCGATACGTCTATGGTTAATGATAATACATCGCTATATTGTCATCTGGGATGATAATGGGAAAAAGTAGTAAAGAAGTTTCCAAGATAATCTTAACGATAAATCACCGGATGCTACCCTTCTTCTTCTTCGTTACGATGCAGCTGTCACAAATAATGAAATCCATCAAGAATGTCACAATTCATTGACACGTTGTAATAACATCCATCATAGCCACGATCTTCGACTTGTTAATTATAACTTCTGGGAAGACGATGACCGAGGACGATGACCGGAGACGAAGTTAATAAATGCCGCGTTGAAGCTGAGAACTTTAATTCGAAAGTGAACGACGAGTGTATTAGGAAGTGCAGAGACAGTAAAGTCTTAACGAACACCGAGCAACTCCGAGATATACATGGCCTCGATAAGTCAGAAATAAGATGACGAGGCGAGCAAAAGTCGCAGCTCCATCTCTGTCACAATACATCTTGTGCAAGTCAATTTCCCGGAGTTCCCCGCTGTAAAAGGTACCGTAAAACTAAACAGATCCTGGGAACTATCCGAGTCTATGGACACTTTAGACTAAGAAAACTCTAAACTAAGCTATTTCCGCTGAATAACGCACTTCAAGCGTATCTTTCTAGGCCTACTGTCGTAGAATCGAGTTTACTGCTGAATGGTCAAGGGAATACGCTTTAAAGTTAGGTCTAAATAAAGTGAAGGAACCCTTTCCTCCCGTTTTAACAACTCGCATCGCCATTGTACATTTAACATTCTAAACAAATATTTGTACAAATACAACTGTGATCGCTTGCCGTATCTCGAACTCGTTTTAGTCGAAATGAAATGAAAAAGCCGTAAAGTTGGTGCAGGCATAAGGAACAGGTAGCCAGAGAAGACTCTGTAGGAATGCAGGGCGTAAATGGAAGTTATCATGACTCTATTACAGACCTCCAGCGATGGGAACACGACCACCAGTATCTTATCTTTCATGGCGACCAAAGCAGATGCTGGTAGACAATTGTCGTGTCGGGCTGAAAATCCAATCATGGGAACCGAGTCGATAAAGGACGACTGGGTGCTCGAGATACAGTGTAAGCGTATTAAAGACACGCTCCGGACAAGCCGTAGTGCCTGTAACCGTGTCGATCAGTTACGATTATTCACCACGCCACCATCGACATATTGACGTTTTCAATTTGCAGACACACCGGAAACGCGGATACAGCTGGGCACATCGTTGAATCCCAACGCGATCCGCGAGGGAACCGACGTCTACTTTGACTGCCTAATACACGCAGAGCCAACGGTTTATAAAGTTGAATGGCGGCACTTGGTAAGCAATTTTCTAATTGACTTTGCGATAATTCTTGCGTTTTATACGAATCTTCTGCCAATCGCCAAGACCTGGGAAACGTAGCTCGGTTGACAACTAAAGCAATTTACAACACTCAGAATAGAAATTCAATTCTACCATCTCGGAATCTTTTGTCGTTTCCCATTGTCTCGAATCTTGACCTCCGCTCTAATTACGATTACCTAAAATATCTCCCAGTGACTCAATTGACAATTAAGATTCTTCTCTTCCTTTTCTGTCGTTCCAAAATTTCATTCAGATTGATTTCTTCGATCGTCTCGGTGTCTCATTTTCTAAGAAAATATCCTTCCTCTGATTATATTATTCGAAAAATAGTAATAATTCATCGAGACCTTCAAAGAGTTCACGTTCTTCTGCATTTGGGTCTGCCTCGAATTGTTCTTCTTTGCTACGATAATTGTAAGCAAGCTCGGAGAATAAGGGGACTCATAGTTTCATTTCAGAACTAATTTTAACAAAGCCTGCCTTTCCGGTGACCAAAAAGTTTTGGAGACAGTACGTTCGTGAATTCTAAAAAGTTTCGACGATCACGAAGATTGGGTCGCAGGTCGAAGGTGCCCAACCGTGATACCGCCATCCTGTCAGCGCAGGATACAGAAGATACAGTGCGAGATTCAGTCGAAACAGGATTCTTAAAGTTTCACAACAGCATTGATCGCGAAAACGGGGCTTCTTTATCTTGTTTTATCTTCGAACATCGTGGGAAAATTGCACGCAGGCGCATGTAGATATTTCCCATGGGCTACGGGGATCAATGGCAGCGTTCCGTATCTGAAATTGTGTTTCAACGTTATAGGAAAATCTTTCAGAAGAATCATGGAATATTTATGAACGATCAAGCTTGTAAAATGAGAAGTAGAACTTCCCATTTCGATTAATTCGCGAGTGCTGATAAATATTAAAATTTGATCGAGGTATTAGGCGAGATGCAAGATAGACGTAACGCAGGCTTCCGTGTAAATTACCATAGATTACCCGAGTTACAGGTACAGAAACTCAGACTCATCAGCGTCGCATCAATCATCCTTTGTTCCAGGGGAGAACTCTTCATCACAACATCACGCAGGGTATCATAATCAGTAATCAAAGCCTGGTGTTGCAAGGCGTCGACCGTAAAAGCGCAGGCAATTACACTTGCGTCGGGTACAACACGGAAGGAGACGGAGAGAGCTCTCCGTTTTATTTGAACGTAATGTGTAAGTGTCATCCTCCTAAATAAATGATCAGACGCTCCTCCGTGGCAATCTTCGTGCTTCCACTGCTAGACAATTACACGTGAGACGTCCTTTTCTGGCAAATGAAGACATTCCTATTAGCAATAATTCTCCTGGTTCAAAGATAAGACGAGTTCATAGCCCCGAGTGCTTTATGCTTATCTTACCAGTCGAATAAAGTAATTAAAAGCAATTAAATACCTTATTTTTATCTCTACCCGTTGAATTCCCTCTATTCGTTCTTCCGAT